GTGTTTGCTCTTTAGCAGCTTTGGTCTTTAATTACAATAATAAGGATAAAAGACATTTGTTAATTTGGGACCACAGAAAGTGGTCTTTAATTAAAAGTGGTCTTTAAGGGAGACCTGTGATTTTGTTGTTTTACCAGATGGAAGCGAAAATCAAGCGTAATATGGAATAACAGAGAATTTAAATCAACGCTTATAAATTATAATATTTATACAGCCTTCACAAATGACAGTCTTTAGTATCAATAATAATATGTATATGTGTTTGTATAGCAAATATTAATACAGTACTGTATTATTATTGTATCATTTGCCTGTATCAGAACCTTTAATTTCAAGCAATGACGACAGCAGTGAATCAACGAATAACTGTTGTTAACCAGCTGAATTAAAATATCTGGAATAATATCATATCGATGCTGTTACTGCTGGATGATGGGTCTGATGATGAGAATTTTTGTTGATATTGATAGTGATAATGATGATGATGGTGATGATGATGATGATTATGATGATGATGATGATGCTGAGGATGGTGACGTGGATGATGATAATGATGATTCAGAACATAAAGTGTATATTAAAAAAGATGACGATCAATCACGATGATGATAAAATGTATATTAAAAAAAGTAATGAGAGCTAAAACAAAAAAGATAGATTATTCTCCATTATTCCAGGGAAATTCCACTGTTCCCTGATTATTCCAATATTGGAGTATTGCACAATGGTTCTAGATGATCTTTTATTTCAAACACTAATGGGCTGTGATAGAAATTCCGATACCATTAATAATTATCAAGAGCTCATTGATTTTAACGTTGTCATAATGCTAACAATTCGTACCTAACAATTACTGCTTGTATAGAAAATAAATTAATGACGCCGGTAATCAGTGCATTTATATGTATTCATGCAAAAGATAACTGGACTTAATGGCCTCGGTCACCAATTAATATAGGAGTGAATATGCTTATTGATTAAAACTGATCATTATTATTACTATTATCATCATTATTATTAGCGTATTATATTATTATTATTAATATATTATTATTATTCTCATTATTAATTATTATTATTATTATTATTATTATTATTATTATTATTATTATTCTCATTATTAATTATTATTATTATTATCATTATCATTATTATTAGGCCTATTATTATTATAGTTATTACTAACATATCATTACATTATAACATTTCCATCAAAAGCCTGTACAAAACTAAAAACATAACATCAAAAGTTATATCTAAAACGTAACGTTGGCAACCGAATGCAAATTTAAAATAATTTTAATAGTCTTTACAACTTCGTAGTAAAATTAAATAAATCATATTTAAAAATAGTTATGTTAGGCCTACTTCTATAAGTATGTCAAGTTAAATTTTATGTCACATATAGTAAAAGCTAATCGGATAAGTTGTGTGCTATCAAAATATTTGTCTATAGAATTGATATATTGCCGTAGTTGTCCATTGCCCACAATATGGTGATCTTCGGAACGATTCATTGTAATGCAGATTCAACCGAATGCAAATTGTTAATATATAAACAATATCTAAACAATAAGCCTCTACGCATACGAATGGTAACAAGCGTGTTCGTTTTATTAAATCAAATTTTAATTCATATGCAGAAAATAATAATAATAACAGTGTAGTTTTTAGTGCCGTATCCATCTAATATAAGATGCTCAGGTCAGGGCGATTGATATGTAGACTAGGAACTCGGTTAATGACTTTCTTCGTATAAGGGTCCCTTCGTGTCTGTGCTGCCCGGTAACCCGTTACCAGGCTACAGCTTTCGTCGTCCATCACAATGGCTGCCTGTTCCCGTACACCGGGGTATCCCCACCCCCACGTCCACACTCATCTCTATGTACTGGGTAGTACACATGAGCCATTGTATACACTGGGCCTACGGTTTATTGTCCTTATCCATGTAGACTTGTTCTACCACCAGAATCATAGGCAAGCGTGCCTTTTGAACTGCGCCGATCGTATTATGGTTGTAGGTTGCGGCGCCTCTGCTAACCACTGTGCAACCAAGGACTGTTAACGGTACCTGATGGTGGGGAATCCACGAATTCGAAATAAGGGGGTGAGAGGAGCATGTCTGGAGCTGAGAAACGAAGTTCTTTGTCTATGCACCGGCCGGGAGGAGCAATCTCAAACTTAAATGTGAATAATAATAATAATAATAATAATAATAATAATAATAATAATAATAATAATAATAATAATAATAATAATAATAATAATAATAATAATAATAATAATAATAATAATTACAGTGATTTATTTAATTAGCGAAGATATGGAGACAATTATTTCGAAGTTCCCTCGAAAGAGAACGGGGGGTGGAGAGAACGGGGGTATAAAAGAAGAGCATGAAGTGACGTAACGTAACTACTTCCCGTGGGTTGATCGTTCGAGAAAGCTGATTTACTAGTAATCCATATCGACTAATAATAATAATGAAAAATAAATAAATAAAAATAATACTTTTAATAATAACTTTAACAAATATTGATAATGATAAGAGGAAATGAAAAAAAAAATCAATCTCCACCTGAATTTGAACACATGTACACAAACTCATGAGAAGTTTCTGAGGCATTGAATTATATATAGCACGCCCTCGTATTTTTGTAAGGGAAAAAATCAGATCCCGCTCTACACATCCGAGTTGATCCGCAGTCGTTGTATTTTAGGATTTAGGCAAATACAGTAGTAAAAATCAAAAGTCATGGAGGCCATGGACACTGAACAAGGTGCTGGGGACGTAGTTGAAAACACTTCTGCCGAAAAAATAGGTAAATATGCAATGTCAGTCACTTTTAGATTAAACGGATACAATATCCAAACTCTGGAAACTGTACACGTGTGATGATAATTGAATAGCATAACGATAAAAGCTTGTTTCTGCTTGGATAAGTGCAGGCCTCCTACCTATTCCAACCTGTTTATCGACCGCTTTGCACCTCGGTGAAGTAGGGCGCGCCAACCAATGATTAAAGTGTGGAGGGCCCAGTGCAGTGGTTGTGTTTATTTGTTTTTTTATCAAAAAGACATTGACTGAAGTTGATATAATTTACCAATGCCACATCCCTGCTGTATTTATTTTAGGATATAGGACTAGGCCTAGGCCTAATACTAATAAGCCTAGATTTCTATTCAGACAAACATTCATTTTAAACACAAACTGCCCCAATCCCCTCCCCACCCCTTTGTTGGCCCTAGGCCGAGAGACACTGCCTACGCTCTAGATAATATTTAATAACATAAATATAATAAAAGGAAGGCTGAAGTAAACTCGCGTTTGCAACATACTGTGAAGTATTTTAATTGGTCGGATGATACCTCAAAAAAACCAGCTCAAAATTTGCGTGGAAAATCACTAGGAAACTATAGTAAGAAAATACAGTAGGTTAGGTGCGCAGAATCGTAATTACTGCATATATAGCCTATATGCATTGGTTATAAGATCAGGTTAAAACCTTATTTTTCCGGCAAAGTCTGCACAAAAATCAGCCCTTATTTTCTGAAATGCGCGGATTGATTTCTAGGCCAAATTTATGCCTGGAGGATATATTCCCTGTGCAAGCTTACCTTTACAGTCTGGCAAGAGCGGAGCAGTGTGGGTTTATTGGGAAAGTAGAATGGGTGCCCTGTCATCGGTGAGGCCAGTTTGCGATGGTTACTTACGACTTGTTGTAACAAAAATATGGAAGAATATGAATGAAGGTTACCACTCCTCAAAGATCGCAAAATTTAAAGATTACAAATTTAAAAAAAACTTGTGGTAACAGTAAAAAGGAAGTGGTTTATACAACAAACTAATTTTTTAACTTGGGCCAAATTTGCGAGGAGACAGTTGAATGTTGTAATTGTACTGTAATAAAAAAAATTTAAATCATCTGTGTTTATAATTTTGGTATTTATGTTGGCCTATACTTCACGCATGCTTTGCCTACCTATTCTGTGCTAATGCTTGTCATCACCTGACACCTGTTCAGAATCTGGACAAGTGCAGTATACGTATTTGTCGACGGGCATCACCATGTGCTAATTTCTTTGTGATATTTTACTACTTTTTAACTTATTATGATACTTAAAACCTAAATGAAACCACTGGTCTCCAGCTCTTTCCTGGTATTCTGTAGGCGTAGTTAACATGGGATCATTAAAGCTGGGCACTCACTGTGGTCGTCGGTCGTTGCGATTCTGTGAAGAACGCAAGAAGACTACTCACCCGCAACGGATCGTTATTAATGACGGTCCGTTGAGAGCACCACTGACAATCAGCAGATGGCGTCGCATTCTCTACTGCTTACAGGGAGTGGCGTTGTAAGACGGACGACCGCCGTACAGCGCAATAAGTGCCTGGCTTAACACATGAAGTCATATCTTGGAGACTGTTTAAACAAGCTTTCTTAGCACATTTTTGTTTTGCTGCTTTATAGTGATAACCAATCAACACTGACTTCTGTGAGACAAATGATAATTAAGTGTTAGTACAGATTTAGTGAATATGTGGGAGATGGCTATTTCCAGGAGATTCTTGTCCGGTTGCAGAAGTTTGGGAGGCCGTCCTGATTTCTGGGGGACTCCCTCAATTTGCAGGAGACTTGGGTGTTCTAGAAAAAACTAGTTTTCATGAATTACTTTTTTATAACTTTACAATTGATTTGAAAAAATAAAAATTTTGTCAGTGAATCACTCACAGGTGGCCCAGGATTTGCCAAAGTGGGAGGGGGGTGGTCCCCGACTGGAGCTAAGTTGGCGTGGACAGGCATTGCTTAAAATTTTTCGAAAGTGGTCCAGAGACAAAGCCCCGAAAATGTGACGATTTAGTGGTTTCAAAGGCTTATAAACTGGTAATAATCATTATCATTATGTATGATAATCCATTGATTATCTGTGATTTGCTGTCTGACAACTGTAGGAAGAAATACCTCATAAATCTGTGTATAACTCAATAGCAGCATAAATTTACCAAGACAAAATAACCAATGTCTGTTCTATTGCACAATACTGTAAGTGCTATATGTTCATATAATTCACAAAGGATGTAGATTAGGTAATGGATTCAACGAGAATTTGAAGTGCTTTTTGTTTTTTCAATTTCACAAAGTTTTGATATAATTTACAAGATCGCTTTGATGATAAAGTACACCGCACATCTTTATTTAATGTAATGTCAACAAAGGCAGCAAAACTCCTCAATGAATCATCCCTCGTTATCATATTCACAACGTACTGTAATCACAGTTTGGTTTGGTAGTTAAAATAATAATGTCAACTTTGCCATATAGGCGAGAATTTTTTTAGTGAACTCACCACCCACCAATAATGATGATTTCGATTAAAAATTAAATTTATTACATCTGCCACCTGCCACCACGAAAAAATGGAAATTTCATTAAAAAATAAAATTTTTATTACGCCCGCCGATGCCTTGAATTCTCCAAAAATAAGATGTAGGGCCTATATTTCTTCCTAATTATATAAATTTATAACATTTAACCATCCCATTACTACACTGTTTACATTCACCAGTAGAATTCTATTTTTATTTTCTCCTCCGTCTGGATATTTTTGGCAAAACTATTTGCTAAAAAATATACATCAAAATTTTATTTATTATTTTTTTTAAATTTCTGACGATCTTTAAAAAACAAGGTATTAAAAAAATGTCTTTTAATTTCTTCATCAATTATTCACTAGGTACAATATTATTAAACCATCTGAAGCTTTAATCTAAAGATTAAGGAGTGAATTTTTGTTTTAATTGCAAGAAGTAAAAAATCCTTTAATGTTCACAAGATTTGAACAGAGGACTTTGAAATTAAAAGATTGGCACCTTGCCCATAAAACTATTAGCACAATTTTGGTATTTTATAAAACTGTTCAGCATTTTCTTAAGAGCTCAAAACACATAGTTTGTTGATTACAAAATTTAATCAAATAGCTAGATTGTGCAGACGAAGTGACAGGCCTAATTAATGAAAGACAGGCTCATTGGGCAATGCTATTAAATACGATACTGCAAACATAATAATCATAATTTAGCATTTTATATAGATGTGGCATTTTTCATCAGTGATAATAAGAATCCAAAACCAGGCTGATGATAAAATGTATTGTGTCTAGTCCCGAAGGCATTTTTTAGATTTTTAAAATTAAAAATATTTTAGAAGCAACTTTACAATTTTATTTGAAAAAAATAATCAGGTTTAATGGATAATTATTTTTGCCATACAGTAGAACCTCGTTTTTACGCACCCCAGTTATACGAAGGCCTCTGTTTTGCGTACGCCTTGTACCGACGATGACGTCATCAAAAACCCTGAAAATATTCAAAACAAACGGCCATTTTCAGGGCCACCATTAAAGTAAAAAGAGATTAATTGCTGTCTGCTTATTTCAATACTATAACAGTAAGCAAACTTTATGCATAGTTTTGCATTAAACAGCAACGTTAATTGAGTCTAATGCCGGGCTGTTATAATCTAAAACCATGTGACTGAGCAAAATGAACAACTACCGACAGTGCTCAAAATAATTTCTTTCCACCTTAATAGCTTCGTGTCGAAAACTCGTCTGATCGAATTTTCTACACAAGTTTACTAAGCTGAGTAGGCATAATTTCGTACACAAACGCTAATTGGTTGGCTCGCCCAGTGCGGTGCACATGGTTTTAGTCTGTCTCCGCAGGCCCAGACAACACCGCAGCTCTGTTTTTTTAGAAGACTGTAGCTATGAAGGGGAATTTCCAAGTTATACCTTTGTCATATAGGTAGTCTTACAATATTTACATGTTCTTTAGTTAAATAAAAGATAAAGGGATGAATTAATACACTAGACACATGGTCTTATTTGAACACTTTATTATGACATCGTAAGGTAATGAATGAAAACACTAAACACATGGTTTTATTCGTAGGCCTACAGTACAGCTGTAGGTCCAGCCTGGGGCCTAGGTAACATCGTTTGTTCATAACATACATTTATTGACTGTTATGTATGTATTAGGTCAAAGGTCACCACAAATTTAACCCAACCTCAATTTTAAAATCCCCTGATTTACGTACAAAGTACGCCCTCTGGTCCAGTACCGTACATAAAATCGAGGTTCTGCTGTATCTTAAATTTATTGATCATATATAATTAAATAATTAATTATTAGTCTAATATAAGCCAGCATATTGGCTTTTCAGACAGAAACTCATGCTGGCGTGTTTACCGCAATATAGCGGTATTGCAGTTCTGTCTGAAAGCGGCTTAAGACTTGGGTTTATGTTGGTAAAGTATTTATTTATTAGAATAATTTCTCATGGTGGTATGCTAACAGAGTAAAGGAGAAATTGTTGGTGGGTGTCACATTTGTTAAACAGGTTTGTGAACCTACTGTATGCCCAGAATACCTACCTAACAAGCTATTTCCTTGAAGCTTTGTCTTTCTATTAAGACACATAAAGGATTCTAATCAAGCAGGATGTACCCCAGGCATTTTGCTCATCATATCCATCCTGTAGAGTAGGCACCCCTGTATTCTAATGTACCTCATAGAAATAAATAATAATGGTACTGTAGGCCTATTAATAATGTGACGTTAAAAATTGATAACACAACACTATACTGTAGTAGTGATGATAATGTGTATTACTCACATTCAGGTACTGGTACTAGTAGGTAGGGGGAGGGAACCGCACCTCTGACTTCCCTGTTGCTGCCAATGGTTGGGTAGGGGTTCATGGATAAATAGGTGAATGGATGGATGGAGCACTAACATTGAAATCAAATTTTTACT